AAAACAAAACAAAACAAAACTCATTCTCATAGAAAATTTGAGCTAGTTATTCCGTAATGACCTGAGGGACAAGGATTAAAAGAGACGTGGACAAACCTGATACGTGTGTTGAATAACATACATTTTTATTAAAATGATTGTCGTTATGTTCCTCTGTGTACGTGTACACAAAGACCCTAAGTGGTCAGAGCCTCAATTGCATATGCCTTCCCCGTGGTAATGGTCAGGTTTAATGCTGTCCCCATATATTGTGAGTTTACTTAGTTAATAGCACACATTGTGAAGTTTTCTTTATGTGTAGTGACATGTGCAGCCATAGCACACGTAGCAAGATATCAGTAACCACGAAAAACTTGTTTTGCATAGAAATAGCAAATTTATGTAAAAAGTATTATACAAAAAATCATTTTTACGCTGAAACTAAATATCAGACTTCTACAATTATCCTTTAAGTTGGCTTTTTATAGTTAGGGATGTGAGCAAGTGGGTGCCTTATCTATACGTATGTGCATATAGCTTCCCCATGTAAGCAAACTAAGAGTGTTCCATTCACGTAGACAGGTATATCCATAAGATTCTGCGGATCAATTTCTAATGACTGACTGGAAGGTTGGATCTTAACTCCAGATGTGAGAAACAGTCCAGAAAATACAAGCTTACATGTAGTTTTGTGAAATACAGTATTCTTTGCCTTCTGTGCTTGCATGCAAAAGGTGTTTGATGCCTCAGGACTTAAAGTCACTAACTTCTCTGCTCTTTGGGATTGTATTCAGGATTCGGAGTCCAGCAACCTTCACAAATTCCTGCAGGCACTCCAAGGTCCGGGACAGGCCTTTGAATAACTTGCAGGCCATGTGATAACAATGGAAAAAGGTCTTTTTCATCTCTTGTTTTGGGGAAATGGTGTTAAGATGAGATGTCTGTTTCCAACTACCATATAGTTTTCAATCATTTGTACTTAACGGAAAGACGTGGGGAGATGACTTGACTGTAGTAGTGAGATAAGAGCAATACCTTCTTCCTCTCTGAGTAGTATAATGCTTTTTTTGATTGAATAAGCGACATTTTGGGGACTACAAACTATAGAAAAAAGTTTGGTCAAAAAGTCCTGTAGATCAACAGCCACAGATGCTGTTTTTTGCTTGTTTCTCTAATAGTTCTGTCGGCTCTTTTAGAAGGTTAAAGTAACTCCAATACTTAACCACTTGAAAACTGGAAATTTAAATTAACCGATTGCCACACTACCTTTGCGAGTGCAGTTGATTGTCCTTCTGCAAGGAATGACTCTAGCGGTGCAGCCGATGCTACTTTATCATTGTTTATTGCTTCCTTTATATCTCTGTGTTAACATGCCCTCGCAGTCTTAGAGCAGAGTAGTGATATTGTTTTCACTTTTTTTTTTTTTTAAGGATTGTAAAGGCCTTCTTAGAAACTGGCCAGTTTCTTTGTACTCTGCATTCACCAACATCCTCTGATAGCCTGGTATGAATTTGTTTTGATCCACCAATGATTTACAAAATTAACCTCTCTGCTTCTATTTTAAATAACTTCAGGGAGTCTGTGATCTAAGTTGTCACTGTGTGCAATCTGTCTATTCTGAATTCATTTTTCTTTTTTAATCTGGTGTTATGTGAATTTAGCACAAAGTGTTGTTATGTAAATATATACACACCTATACAAATATCTATGGTATGCTATTTATTTTTACATTTATACTGGGTGGCAATAGAAACATCAGGTTCATTTGTTGCTTAAGATTGATGCACGTCTCACTTCTACCTGTTTTTCCACATATTGGGAATGCATTATATAATTTCAGATGAAAATAACTTCTTAATTTGTCTTGTAGAGTGCAGATTTAGTAAAGGTCTACGATAGTTCTATAGGAGAAGAAGCTTTGAAGAACGCTGACACAAAACGCTAAATTTTTAGTCTAACATTGAACTTTAACGTGAGAAATTGGAAAGCTGTGAACAGGCGTAACGTCTTTGACCTTGAACGGCGTTTGGCCTTCTGTGTAGACCGTGGAATTCAGTTCTATAGGAAAAGTGTCTTCTCTCTTTATTGCTACCATCCTTCACCACTGAAACAGGGGATAGCATCTTAAAATTAATACATGGTTATTATAACAGAGGGTATATATGTGTATATACAGCAGCAAAGGGTATGTATGTGTAGCCTTAATATTTTGCTCTTCAGCTTTATTTGTCTCCTCCTCTCATTCTCCTTCCTTGCTTTCTCAATAGTAAATATACATAGTCAAGCAAGCAGGCACGCACAAATGTCATCGCGTTTTCAAAACTAAAAATGAACAATTACGTTTTTTTAGGTTACAAAATTGCAAGTATATAAAATATACATGCAATCCTGTACTAATTCCTATGTGTTTTCCGTACATTCCAGGTTAATTGTTATTCGCAGCCTAATTTACAGGCCCAAATTTGTTCCAGAATGTTTGATATTCACATATTACATTGTTTGATTCTAGAGACACAGCTTCGTATGGAAATTCACCTCATAAATATGATTTTGAAATGTTTAAAAGTTTTAGGAAACACAAATGTTTGTACTGGATCTGTGATCCTCTGTGGCTTCTGATGCGTTCTACCTTCCATGTTTTCACCTCCTAAATCTCATTATGGGATAGCTGAAGGTATTATCGCTTTCAAATATTATTTTTCTTGGACGCACTTGGCATTGCTGAGGTCCAGGGAAGTTGACAGGGATTTTCTGCGTCAGCAAACATAACACATTCCACTTAACACTACCGAGAAACTTCTTTCTTTGCAGCGTATTAGGATTTCTTCTGCTGACAAGTGAATGCGTTCTCAAGTATATCTTCCATAATGACATCTTGAAGTTTAAAAGAAACCAAAGTGATTAAATAACATTTTCTTCTATGAAAATTGTAAGATCAAATTTTAATGTCTAAGTTTAACTCAACATTCTTCCATTCTCACTTTTTAAATTGATTCAGTACTTAAAGCATCGTTTTTCTTCAGTTGCCTTTCTGCATGCAGTATTCTTATTGAAACCTGTGAAGATGGTAGGTAAAAAGAGGGGACAAAAGACTATTGCTTTTTCAGCAGTTGCACAACTTGAAAAGAAATTTTAAAACACTGCTGGCTTAACGTGCGTCGGGAACGTGCCTGAAGACCGAAGTGCTTAGCTGTGTTGTTCACTTAGTCTTTTCTTCAGAAAAACACACAGCAATTGAGGGATTTGATATTACGTGTCTCTTCCTTTGTATCAAGTAGTACATTTACTAAGTGCAAACCCAACTCTTTTTTTGGTAATAAACAACTGACTGAAGAGATAAATTGGCCTTTCTACCGCTATCAGTTTCATTTTTGTATCTAGCATACAAAGTCTTCAGAAAGCCCGTGGGTAAAAGAGAGTGGATGTGCTCACGTTGCATACGTTGAATCCACTGAGTGTGTTTCTTTTTCTTAATTCAACTCTCTTTGTGTTTCTTTGACTTTAATAGCATTGAAGTGGAGGTAAGAGCTATACCCGAAGTAGAGAAAAAACAGGAAGGAGTGAAAAACAGGTCCGCAAACACAAGAATTTATTTTGATTTCCTTTTGTTTCGTACTGTGGTTAACTTCTTTCCTTCTTTTAGGTTATAGCGCCAGTTAGTTTATGGTCATCGCTCTCTTAAACAAAAGACTGGAGCATTTTTCTGAGAAACAGTGAATTGGCAGGAAGATGCAGAGTGTGATTTCTGTTTCTGAAGGGCATATACAGAGAGTTCGGGCTTTTATTTGAAAACTCTCAGAAGATGGAAAGGGGCAAAGAGCAATGCAGAAGAGGAATTGTTTGGCCCTTTATATGGTGTGCAGCATGCTGGAAATACTTTTCTTAAGTTGAGGAGGGCATTCTTTGGGTATTTCTCCTTTTCAGCCCTGGAATTGCTCTTGAATTGTGAACAATCTACTGCTGTCTGTTGAACAGCCTCACCTAGATTCAGACTGCAGCTGAAGTAGGGGGTTGGTCTGCCCCGGCTCCCGAGTTTGTGTTCTTTGTATTATGGATTATTTTCCTTTTCTTTTCTTTTCTTTTTTTCCCCCAAAGTAGCTTATTTGCAGCTTTATGCGTACCCCTGCTCTCTACTAGTGACAAATATTATTTGATTATTTATTTTGTAAACCTTCAGGAACATCATTTTCTAAACAGCGTGAAATGTTTGGTTACTTTTGTTCCTGGGTGGTAAACTGAAGCCCTTGATCGTGCAAAGACTTACAAGTGCATTTAATTTTCAGCAAGTAGTAGACATCAGCAGGCTGCCTGGGACTACTCTGGTGTTGAAGGTGTGACTACCATTCCTTTAAACATGCTCAGGCTAGCTTTGTAACAGCTAGTTCAAGTACTGCCAGCAGTAGAGCTACAGTTGAACTACTATTTCATGAGTTTCCCTTTTAGGTAATTTCTTGAATGGTTTTGTAGCCTGCATTGATCTGTATCGGTACCTGAAGTTTCAGGTTGGAAGAAAGCTTGGAGATGTCTACGGAAACTATAGTCTTGTCCTGGCTGGAGCATGGGTATGCTCTAAATAAATCTAAACATTGTACCTTAAAAAGTAGTTTCAATTTGTAATTTAAATCTCCATCCTAAAAACACTTTCTTAATTTTTCCTCAACTTCATGAACTTTGAAGAACTAATCGATCTTGGAGGGAAAAGGCTTAATTGGTGGAGAGTTCTCTCTTTTTTTTTTTTAATAATAAATCACAATTACAGAAGAATGTGAGAAATTCTTGGCAAATAACATGTGGAAAATCAGTTTCATGTGCAGTAAAAAAAAAAAAAAAGTGAAAAAATTCTTTCTGGCTTTGCCAAAATTAGGTTTCACTTTGTGGTGGCTCGGTAATGTCCTTTGCTGAAATTTCTTTTATTTTTAGTGGTCATTAGCAGCTCTGAAAGCTATGTTTTTTTGAAAATGGAATTATAACAAGGTTTGTTAATGACGTACTAAAGTTAACTTTATATTTTATTATTTCAGTTGTTCATGGTGGACAATGGAGCAGATGACTGGAGAATAGCCATGACTTATGAGCGTATTTTCTTTATCTGCTTGGAAATACTGGTGTGTGCTATACATCCCATACCTGGGAACTATACATTCACATGGACAGCCCGGCTCGCCTTTTCTTACGCTCCATCCACAACAACAGCTGATGTGGATATTATTTTATCTATACCAATGTTCTTAAGACTATATCTTATTGCCAGAGTTATGCTGTTGCATAGCAAACTTTTCACTGATGCCTCATCTAGAAGCATTGGAGCATTAAATAAGATAAACTTCAATACCCGTTTTGTTATGAAGACTTTAATGACAATATGTCCAGGAACTGTACTGTTGGTTTTTAGTATCTCATTATGGATAATTGCTGCATGGACTGTCCGAGCTTGTGAAAGGTAAGGTTGTTTTGTTTGTTTGTTTGTTTGTTTGTTGGTTCGATCTTTCTTTCTGTTTTTATCTCTTGTTTTGATTCTTTGGTTTTATATTCAGGGGACCTAAATATTTAATGCAATGGAGCTTGCGGGTCCTTGATGTGTTGGGTGCTGGGTGGCTTGCACTGTGTTGTGGTGATGGTCAGGAGTGCTTCGCCTTTTAATCTGAAGAATTTTTGTAGGAAAGTTTGTGCCACAGCGTTTGCTGTGGCATTGCAATTTCATTTTGATGTTTTGATCAGACTTCACACATGTTTGCTGAAACAGGGGCCAAATGCCATAAAAGGTCTTTACCGACAGCTGTTGATGTTCTGCAATGATATCGGCTTTCATTTATTTTGTTTGTGAGCTAAATTAATGGAGAGTAATGCAGATGAAATAGCCATGGAAAATTTCAATGGAAAATGCGGTTTTATTGTCCCTTATAAAAATTGGAAGCGCAAAAATGTTGTTGGGGGGTAGGCAAGATCAAGAAAGGGGAAGAAGCAGAAGTTACAGTGAGGTTAACTATTTTATTTTCTTTCCACTTTCCCTAAAGATCAGAAAAGGTGCATTTGAGAGAGAGATTTTCATTCACTTTGCCTAGTTTTCAAACTTTCCCCTCCCCCAAACTTCGGCATAGGTACAGAACAAATGGCTACCGGGGCTGACACCTTGAGATTTGAGTTTCTCGAACGTAACTTTAACAAAAAAGAAGGTAACTTTGGGTTGGACAGGACTGCTGGGGAACGTTCCCTGGGTGAAACAGGCTAAACCTGAAGGAAATAATTAGGCTGATTCTTTGTGAAAGATTTAATGCCTGGGGCAGCTCTCAGATCCTCTGATGAATTTCTACTTACTTAAGCTAGAAGACCTTCTTCAGCATACCTAAGGGATTTCCCCTGTTGCTTGTTACCATTTTGGTTTTCCTCTTCCTTTCTTTGTCTTGCTCATTTTCAAAACAGTTTAGAGGAGTTACTTGTGACAGCTGATTTAGGTCAGCAGTTAAAATGCAAGCCAACTGTTATGGTCGGGTTACTTTGGGAAATCTTTCATGGCCTTACTTCTCCATTTGCTACAAAGAAAAATAGCTGATCTTATACACTGAATATAGAGATCTTCTTGACATTGCTTCTTTTATGTTAATATCCCCTGAATTGTGGAATACAGTGTGTTACAGTAGATGCCTGGTGTCAATGTAGTTCCATCACGTTAGGGCAAGACTGATCATTTGAGTATGTTCTGAAAATGCCAAGTTAACAGTAACATCTTTTAGTTTCAAAATATTCCCCGTTGTTGGGCCAGTTGGGACATTCCAGATATCCAATCAGTCTATAATAGTTGTATTTTAATAACATGTTCTTGTAATAGAGATTTGAACAGGCTTCAGCTGAGCAAGCTTCTGCTAAACCCCTTCTCTTTGTCTTTTCACTTCTGTTCCCACCAGTTTTCTTTCAACAAAACGTGCCCACTCAGGAGTTTCCCAAATCTTTTGTTAAGTAGTTCTGAGCAGCTTCAGCATCCATTGCCGTCACTATTTTATGTATCACTAGTTAATAATTTGTAGTATTTTATTCTTATGAAATAATCTCTTCATTACAGAGCCATTGCATTGCTAACTTTTTATTAGATGCGTGTTCAAAACAAACATATAAAGCTTTGTCTCTCACAGTGAAAATTACTGAACAAGAACTGAAGCACTTCTGCATCAGTGCGATGCTGGGAGGAAGCTTATTTGTGCAGTCAGGTGCGCTCAGCTAAGGGTTGTGATCAGGACTGACTTTTTCAACTCTGTGCTGCGCTAGTGGCAGGCGTTGCGCATTTGAAATCGCGGTTGCTGTTCCTGACGTGACTGTAGTGCTTGGGATGGTAAGCTGCATAACCGCTGACACTTTAAAAACAAAACAAAGCATATCTAAAAGCAAGTTAAATATAGACCTGAGTGTTGGATTAATATGTCCCTAGTGTAATTGCATTCTGTCAGTGGAGACCAGTCAAAGGTCAGGTGCCTTAACATTTAACCATACTAATTTTGCATTTCAAAAACACTAAAAGGGCTAGGTTTTG